TATATATATATATATATATATATATATATATATATATATATATATACACACACACACACTAAAATAAACTACTACTTACTACTTGTACTACTATTCCTACTTTGTGGATTTTCACTTATCGCAGGGCTTCAGGGTACGGATCCCCCGTGATAAACGACAGACTACTGTACATATAGAGCTGGGCGATATGGACCAAAATTAGTATCTCAATATTTTTTGATAAATCGCGATATACTATATATATTTCGGTATTTTTCTTTCCATAAAGTAATAACAAAAATGTATTTCTGAGTCAAAGCTTTGTCCCAGTTGTCACACAGGTACATGAATTAACAAACAGCTGTAACTCTACAAAACAAATGTCTAAAAATAAACTATTTACATATATTAGTTTATTTTTATACATTTATTTATATATTAAATAATAATCCTCTTCAGCTGGGGGCAGCTGTGGCTGAGAGACTAGAGCAGTCATCCTCCAATGGGAAAGTTGTGGGTTCAATTCCACCAGCAGTCACATGCTGAAGTGTCCCTGGGCCAGACACTGAACCCCTCATTGCCTCTGTGTGTCCCATCAGTGCATGAATGTGATAAAGCACTGATTAATCTTTGTAGAGATCTAAGAGCGTATGAATGTGATCTAAAGCTTTATTATTTGTAGAGCTCTAGTAGAGTGCATGAATGGGTAAATGAGGACACAGATTGTGGAGTAAAGAGTTTTGAGTGTCTTGATAAGATAGAAAGGAGCTGTATAAGTACAGTCCAGCTGTGCCGCCTTCACGTCAGTTAGCCTGTGTGAACTGCTGTAAAGTGAGCCTCCACTCAGAACCGTGAAGCTGCAGCTCCGAGTGGTTTTTCAGCCTGCTTGCTTAAAACAAACCACAGGTCAGAACTCATTTAGTCGTGCTGTACCTTATCAGAGAAACAGAGAGAGGTGGCAACAGTAATAAATCAGCAGTTTATCTATCGCTAGACACGGTCCCAGTCTCAGCTGTGGAACAAGACGGTTAAAGCGTTAGTCGTCTTGTTAGCTGCTAAGGACCGTGTCTTGTGTGGGATTAACTAAGACTAACGATCCTCTATTGTGAAGAGTGAGAGGTCAATCTGCATGTGTCAATCTGCATTATGCAAGCTTACATAACACCTCTGCTTTATAACTTGTATCCCACACTCCGTGTTCTTTGAATTGAGAAAGCTCCTCGGATGAGAAGCGTAACGTCAGTTACAAATAAAGTCCAGTTGTTTTGTTCTTAAACTTTTTTTGGATTTACCATGTCCTGGATGATTGAGAATCTTCATCGACCTAGCATTAGTAAAGTACGACAAAGCCATTAATCTCGGGGAAACGCCGATTTATTTATTTATCTAAACAAACAGTAAATCATCAACAAACCTCAATGGTAGACGTTTTCAGCAGGGCAATCTGGTCTTCTCGTGTTAGTTCTAGGAAACCAGGTAGCTGCTTGGCAAAATCCACAATCTCCTGAACGGACATGATTGCGAGCTCTGTGAAGTGAGCGAAACGTTGCTGACGCACTTCTCGATTCTGCGGGTCCTGATTCTGTGGCCACGGCTGTAAAAAAATTTAGTAGCCATCAGATAGGACTGACCTAAGGGTTTCAAACAGCGTCAACATTTGAGGACAAACTGCATGGAGAAACTTTTCTTTTACCGTCACTTTTGGTCGATCAAGGAAAGACCTCTTGTTGCACTGCTTCTGCATGGCTACCAGCTTCTCAATCATCTCCTGCTGGTGTGGCTCAAGCGTGGCCACTTCTTGTGGAGGGGTGGGCGTGACTACTGTAGATGTGTGGGCCGTTTCCTCTTCCTGCTGCTTTTTGAACTTTTTTAGTCGGATTTGTTCCTCGGAAAGCACACCTGAAGGGCATATGGGATGCATACATCATGACTGAAGCTCAACCTGTGTGTCAAAGGTTTGATGTTTATCACAGTTTTCCAAGAAGCTCTAAAAACACAGTGCAAGTTTTCTCCATTTTGGATTCATTCAGTACGCAGAAACTCACACTGCCCCAGCATGCCTGCCTCCCGACACTTGCGCAGGCGGCACTGCTGGCACTTGCGGCGCATGTACATGTCCATTTCACAGCGACCATTGTTCTTGCACGAGTACTGTGCACTTTTAATGATGCTGCGTCGAAAGAAGCCCTTGCAGCCTTCACAACTCAACACGTTGTAGTGGAAACCCGAGGCCTTGTCACCGCACACGCTACACACCTCGTTGCCCATCATCTTTGGGGCGGGCCCCTTTTTCCTCTTCAATGGCTGACCATCTGCAGAAAAAAAAAAAAAAAAAAAACTTTTATAAACTTGATGACTAATAACAGAGCTTGAACAGCTGTAACGTTACAAAACATTCAGTGTAGTCCATTTTTTACAGTAATTTTTATTTTTGAGGGGAAAAAGCCAAAAAATGTAATACTCCTGAAACAAGTACTTTTATTTCATTAAAAGAAGAACTGTTTCATCAGTCTCATCTCAAACATGTGAAAAACTTGAAAAATAAAATGAGTGGATTGTTTAAATGATTTACAGCTCCTCGAACTGATGAAGTCCTTTGGATGAAGGACAAAACGTCAAAAAAAAAAAAAAAGTCCATATGACCTGACTGAGCTTTGTAGGATTTTAAACATTCATTCTCACCCTTTACACACTCAATTTGAGAATTTCTGAAAAGACGCATGAGCAAAATCCTCTCTTAGGAGTTTACACAGTCAACTCCATAGTCATTCAACATTTTCAAACAAGTGCATCAATATTTGGCTGCAAGATCCAGTTCCTGCTCAAATTCAAACTTTAAATTGGATGAATTTGCTGAAGGGAGTTCTGAAGATGCAGTAACTACAGGGCTTTGCACAACTTGAAGTTTAAAGAAAGGAGTCCTGGAGAACATCTAAGAAGACGCAAGACAAAATGTAGACAGGAAGGTGAGGAAATATGATTTTTTTTAAAGAACATCAAGAATGGGAGATGTTCTTAACTATGTTTCTTATAATCACAAGTATCTCAATGCATTTAAAATATCAGCAAGTGTGGACAAACTATCAGCAGAAATGAGTGAAGTTGCAGCTCCTCATCAGTGCACACAACATAAATGTTCCAGAAAACACGCTCATGTACTGTACTGTCGGATGCAGTGATCTTTCAGATGTGTAATTAAGAAGTCATCTGTAACGTCACTTAATGAATGGACTGGAAAATATCTGCAAATACTGAAAATCATTCGTGTCTGCAGTTGCAATTAGGAACATCCAAAGGTTTTGACGCAAGTATGACGTTTGTGCAATACCTGATGAACAAATGAGTGTGCTGATAATGGTTTCTGCAGTCTTGTGTACATATTTTCTATTGCTTTGGTGACACTACAAATACACCTAAATATGTAAAATGTTATTAGTAACATAGTAAGTTGCCACAGCAAAAAGTGCCCATGTATTTAATCACCTGCAGCCGGAGGCAAAGGGCAATAACATTGTTATTTGTGTGCTTGTTCATTTATCTCCCATGTTGTTAAAATATGCACATCTTGAAGCCCTGTATGTACAGACTTTAAATAAACTCAGAAAGTTATCACTGGATGTTTATCTACACAGGATTACATTCTGGAGTCACCCCAAGTAGGGCTGGGCGACGTATCGAATGTACCTGATGTATTGAGTTTTTCTATTCATGATGGTTACAATGGCTCTATCGCAACCATCCAGTATTTGTAGACTTGAAAATCCGTGTGTTCTTTTTCTCTCGTCTGCACCAACTTCACAGAGCCCCTCCTTCTCCCTCACTGAATACAAACACAGCCCCTCACCTGCTGCTTCACACACGCCAACGTCATGAAGGTGGCCAACTGAAGAGGATTATTATTTAATATATGTAAATAGTTTATTTTTTAGACATTTATTTTGTACAGTTACAACTGTTTGCTAATAAATGTGCTTGTGTGACAAATGGGACAAAGTTTTGACTCATAAATATATTTTTGTTATTACTTTATGGAAAGAAAAAAAAGATAGTATATTGAGCTTTATCTTAAAAATATCGAGATATTAATTTTGGTCCATATCGCACAGCCCCAACCCCAAGTGAAGATGGTTGCCAAAGCTATGCAGATGACTACACCCCAGTCCATGTTACGGATGATGATTTAAAGTTTAATGCAATTATATATTTTAAACTGATTATTTAAAATATAAAAGTTGGCAAGTGATAAGCATTCCTTAAAAAAATTCTAGACCTTGTTTTGTTGTAAAGCTGGTGTTTCATTAGTGGCATGAACTATGCTGCTTTTACTTCTGCATCCAAGCTTTTGTTTTTACTGTTCAAGTTTTTCCATGTCCTAGATGACTGAGAATTTACACCAACTTATTATTACCAGTATTATTAGACCTATTAGTTCAAACATGGTGTTGGATAATTTCACTATTAATGTTTGTTTCTACATTCAGTACCGCTCCAGTTCCAGAAATTCAATTCTGCGATGAAGTTTCAAAATTAAAAGTAAGCACCGTCCAAAACAAGCATGTCAGATGATAAACGAGTTGGCTTCGATTTACAGTAACTTCAGAAATTATACATGCTAACAGGTGTAGCATCCATGTTTACTTCTGTAAACACAGCATGCTGCACGTGACGTCACGCCTTGGTCTGGGGATGCGGGTCACTTCAGGGTCAGAAACTGTTCACACTGCAGTCTGATGGAGGTTGTGGAGGTAAATTATGTGAACAACAACACAAAAACATTGGCTCTGAGCAAAAAATCAGAATTGAGCATTTATACCTGCAGTGTGAACGTAACCAGAGTTTGGTGACAAAACAGAAAGTTGAAAAATCTTCTGAACCGCTGCATGTTTGAAGTGACATCTAACTGTGTGCTGTGTTTGTGAATGAGCTCGATTAGCAACATCATTGCAACACATCCACCCCTACTTGGCAATCCAAACAACTATTAACTTTTTTTGTAAATAATTTACTTCTCATATTTGCCCATATTTTTCTGAATATATCACTGCAGCTTTTGAGCCAGACTTTAAAAAACACAACAAACAGTAGCTAATAAGTACCAGTAAGTTTCTTTCGGCTGTTCCCTTCTGCAGGGGGTTGCCACAGCAAGCGAACCGATGAATAATAATTTTAAACATTTATTTTTCATAGTATTCGTTTTATGTCTCACATTTTGGGAACGCCATCAGAAGCTACAATTATATTACACCAGCCAGGATTGGCTGGAAATAAGCCAGTCGGTGTCGAGGAGGGCAGGGTCCCTCCCCTTATGTCCAGGGATGTTGCTACACTGACAGACTATTAAAAAATGTCTTCTCGAAAAAAGTTCCCACCAGCTCTCTCAAGGTACTCTCTCAGAGCTGAACTGTCCATAGACGCATGTGCACCCTCGGTCGCTGGGTGCTTTTTGGTCAGCACAGCACCACAGGGTATTTATGCATCAGTAGCAATACAGCTGAGAAAGTAGAAATATTAAAAAAAAACAAACAAACCAACAAAAGCTAAACACGCATCTCGACATATGTAGGCTGTTCCCAAGAGTAGCAATACTCCCGTTGTTTCAGCAACCACTGGGTCCATCAAATCAGCTGATCAGATGATAATCAGTTATCAATACACCCGCCTTGCACTAAGTTCTCTTGGTGAGCTTGCTCCCAAACTGCTTTTGAGCCTAAAGTGTTAGGATCCTACTCCAATTGAGTTTGCAGCTTTCAATCCAATCTCCTCTCCCTTCTGAGGAGCAAAGAGGTTACACTACCTCTGCCCAGTACGAGCTTTATGCATCTACGTGGACAGGAAGTGTTAGGAAGAGAAGAAATAATTTGGCTAAGAAAAATATTGGGAAGCCAGTAAACAAAACAGTGGCTTTAGCGTACAATTCAAAAGCACTGCAGCCTGCAGAGGGCCTGCGTGCCCAATCTACTAGGAGTTTAAGCTCTTCATGGGTCCTGCAGGAAATGTGTGCAGCAGCAAGCTGGACATCCTCTCACACGTCTGCAAGATTTTACAAACTTGATGCCACAGCATCATTGGCTCATTCAGTACTTACTGTAGCACCTAGTGCACAGGAGAATTGAAAAATCAGTGCACTGAACAGCTGGCGCACACCGTGAAATCTGCTGATCCTCTGGATCAGGTGGAATTAAAGGTAACAGCACTGAAAACAGCCCTTTTACTGGCACTTGTCTCTACTAAGCGTGGGCCACAGGTGAAATTCACACTATGGGAGTCATCTTACAAGAATTAGTATATTTATGTTCCTAATGTGAGACATGCAATGAATACTATGAAAGAGAATTTTAGGTTACTGTTGTAACCTCGGTTCTCTGAGAAGCATGAGTGAGTGTCTCACCAAGTCACCCTCCTTTATCTGACGATGTGAGGAAGAGGTGAACATTTTTGAATAAGCTGTCAGTGCAGCATCAGCCCTATACATAGAGGGAGGGCCCCCTCCTTGACACTGACCGGCTTATTTCCAGCCAATCCTGGCTGGTGTATTGTAATAGGAGCTGATGATGTCACATCGAGGGAGTACCCAATGTGAGACACTCACTCCTGCTATTCAGAAAGCCGGGGTTATGACCGTAACCTAAAGGTTTCCAAACAACCAGCCTTGACCTGCTATAGACAAAAACACAGCCGTTGCTGAGACACACTTTTTGGACAATGTCCCGCCTTTTCTGAGCTCAACCCAGACACGACTGCTGATTGTTTCCATGTTTCCAGTTGTGAAAGAGCACACATCCTGCAGAGAGCCTCCTGCTGTGCAGTGGATGTGTGAAAATAAAACAGGACACAAAACAGCTACAGATGGATCAGGATGAGCAAGACAAATGTGGCCAAATGGCAGAGACATGTCTGAGACTGTGACACATTTAACATGTACACACTAAAATAAAATTAACAAAACAACCCAAAAAAAAAAAAAAAACAGGTCAATCTTGTCAGCAGAAGTTGTCACTCCAGTTGTATTGTAAAGACAGCCATCACTGATCTGAGCAAGAAACACAGGGGTGCAGGGATGTTTTTACCACATGCTCCTCCATACTGTATAGCTAGGGGTTAACATACGGAAAATACACAGAAATACTTGTAGTACTTTTCTCTCACCTATACTGCTTGATGCATCAGCTGCTGTTGGATCCTGCTTGATGCCGTTCGGCTCCACCGGCAGAGGGCTGCCCATCTCAGTATGTGGGGGGACGGGGAAGTCATCTGGCTGGGAGAGGTCGGTCAGTGACAGCAGGCCATCAGGCTTCATTGTGGTGCCTCCACTGCTCTCCTGAACCATGCGGTCCAGCTGCAGCTCAGAGGCCCCGTTGAACACCTTACTCTCATCTGAACAAGGAGAAACAAACGGACTCAAAACAAAGACTCATTGTTCAGCGCTGCTCTCACTCCCCTTATCTGTTATAACAGGTGTCCTGAGTAAACATCTGACAAACATTTACAAACTGATACAATAATACAAAGAACAGATACCTACTTTGAAAATGCTGAATTCTACATTAAAAATACTTTTTTATAGAGGCTTTTAAATACACATCACGTATATGCATATACATATACACAAACAATTCAATTCAGTTTATTTCTATAGTTCCAAGTCACAACAGAAGTCGTCTCAGGGCACTGAACAGAAACATTCATGTATAAAAATAATAATTTAACATTATTTATCTGAGGAGCAGACGCTTTGAGTTTAACTTCATCACTGAACTTTCATCTTGAGCAAACATGAAGGCGACAGTGGAAAGGAAAAACTCCCTCATGAGGAAGAAACCTTTAGCAGAACCAGGCTCAGGACAAGTGTCCCATCTGTTTCAACCAGCTGGGTTTGAGAGGAACAGATACACAATGGCAGGTTGAGAATCACATGTTAAGATAGAAATAATAGTAAATGACAACTATTAATTTTAACAATTCATTTAAGGAAATTAGATCAATTTGTCTTCCAGTAGTCTAAGCCTATAGCAGCATAAACAAGCCAACCCTAACTGTAGGATTTATCGAAAAGGAAAGTCTTTAGTCCAGTCTTAAAACTGGACAATGTGTCAGCCTCATGGACAGAAACTGGAAGTTGGTTCCACAAAAGTGATAATAACTAAAAGATCTGCCTCCCATTCTGCTTTTGGAAACTCTAGGAACCACAAGTAAACCTTCAATCTGAGAGCAATGTGCTCTGTTAGGAAAATACAGAACAATAAGATCTGTCAGACATTTTTTTCAGACTGTCATACAACAACAAAGTGTCTTCAGTCAGAGGCTTCTTCAAATCCGTTGTAGGACAGATCGCTACAAGAGATCCTTCCTGCCCACAGCCATCAGCATCTAGAACAACTCTTAAATGAAACCAGGATGATGAGTTACAACAACAATTAATTTCCCTCTGGGATTAATAAAGTATTTTTGAATTGAATTTGAATTAATATAAGATGGAGCTAGGTTGTTGAGAGCTTTGTAGATTAAGAGTAAGATTAGGAATTCAATTCAGGACTTGACAGGGAACCAGTGGAGAGAAGCTAAAACTGCAGAGAGATGATCTCTTCTATCAACTCCACTTAAGACTCTGGCAGCAACGTTTTGGATCAACTGAAGACTTTTTAAAGAAGTACTTTACACATGCACATATTTACACATACATACACACACATAAATATAGATAAATATATATTCTTCTCACCATGACCAACATCTGGGATATCAGTCACAGGCAATGTGGACATCTTCTGCACAGAAGCTTGTCATTACGAAATCAACGTGCTCCTGTGGAATGAAAATATTATCAGTTACCATGATGGGATTATATTGTACACAGATGATTAAAAACATGAAAAACACCACCAGAAATATCTAGCCAAGTCAGGTTTTCCATAGATGACAGAAATGGATTCTAAAGACTGTAGAGGTGTGTGGGTCAGCCTGGGTCCTGTTTGATCACAGGTTTAACTTTTGAAAACCGTCTCGTTCAGTCAGTGTGCTTCCTTGTCATGCATACCGTCAGTCAACAAGACGCACAAGATCTTCAACGAAAAGATGGACGGACAATACACACAGATCATGATATTCACCTTTGTCTGCTTCAGCATTCCTTAAAGGAATGCACATCGCTTGCCTTCGTGGATTCTCAAGTATTTACGAAATATTTAGTTTGATCTGTTAGCCCTTGGACTGTGCGTTGAGAATGCCTCTCACAAGCACACCAAAGGTTAGCTGTAATAAAAACTTTGAGTCGTTTGCCTTCTTGTTAAAGCTGACTAGTGGTGGTGGGCACCAAGAACCACATTGACTCCAAAACTCAATCACTTCTGTAAAGAGTTTAGTTCAGTAGAGGCAAATCCATAGATTATTTGCTGAAAATGTCACTACAATCTGTTTAGTAGCTTGTGAGATATTCTGCAAACAGAATACACACATTCACAGCACTCTATGACAACATGAGATTATAACTGAACATACTGCAACAAACAGGGCAGGAGTGCCAAGCCTCCATCAGACTCAGCATCAGAACAATGTTGCACAGCATCAGTAAGTTCTTAGAAAGATTAGAGGCGTATTCAGACGAACACAGAATACTTGAGTGTGTAAAACAAAACCAAGTGGACGTGAATGCAGAAATGAAAGTCTGTCATGTGCTGCAGGGGGGATCCATTTCAGGAAACTGATTCAGCAGTCTCACCAGCACAGTTCTTGGCTATTCTTAACCAGCCTGCGGGTGGAAAATCACTCCGGAGACAAGCCGTTTGAAAACTGTAAAAAATAAATCTCACTTTTTGCTTGAATACACTAAAAACAACCAGAACATATGCGACACATTATCTGACGCATCATAACTAACAGCTAGCTGTATTAAGTCCACTTACCTAAATTAACTCTTATGAGTGATGCATAACTGAAGAATGTTTTTGTGAACAATGTATAGACATGTAAATGAAACGATACTGGATCATTTAAGAATCTCACACAGACACTAAAACAGTCCATACATGCTTAATTATTTTTTTAAATAACGTTTACAAACTAAAAACTTACTGAAGTGACATTTCGGTCATCTTATATTAAATCATATCCATCCTGTTCAAACATGACAATATGAAATGTCTTTTGTTTTACTTCTTGGTTAATCTCTACGCAGAGGGTGAATTTATCAGAAACTACAACAGCAACAGTCGACCAAAAGTCGAGGCAGTGAGCCTCTAACCCGGACTTTCTGCCCAGTTCCTGATTTATTTATTTATGGTTATAATTTTATAGGAACAAAGCCCTCCTCCCTGCATGTTCACAAAATACCAAAGGGATGTGAAGATAGTTCTGCCATTAATATAAGGGCCCAGTAAGACCTACACAGACTGTGATAATAAGGACCACAAAAGCATTTCTTATATTCCCAATTAAAGCAGGAACATTAAATACATAACGTTTAGATTTAATCTTTAGGAAGTTTTAAGAAAAGTCCATAAATAAACCAGTTCAGTGAAGCAAATACTTCCACTGTACACAGACGGTGTAACTTAATGAAAAGCCCCCACTGATAAACTTTAAAGTCCAGAGTAGATGTTACTGAGCCCAACTGTAGAAGAGAAAACTAATGATGAAAGTAATGTTTTATTATAGAGAAGATTTGAACTAATGGAAGTTGTGTTTATGTGTTAATGACTATAGCTGCACTAAACTGGTGAACATTTTAAAAATGAACCATATATATATATATATATATATATATATATATATGTATAT